TGTTACTGGGTTTATAATTTTAACAATGGAGAAAGGACCCACATATTTAGGACCAAGTTTCTTCAATTTTGGGGTAGTCTGAAGATACTTAGTGGACAAGAAAACCCTATCCCCAACCTGGTATTCTTTCAGCTTCGGCCATTTTTTATCTGCTTGTTTTTTATGTGCTTGGTGATCTTCGTCTATGAGTCATGGGACAGAAACTTTGTAGCTGATTAATCCACTCGGATAAAGACAGGTTTTGTGGTTTCTCCTGGGGCAATTCAGGAATAGGCACAAAGTCCTGGCCAAACACTATTTTGAAAGGAGTCAATCCTGTACTGCTATGTACAGAATTATTATACGCTACCTCTGCATAAGGCAAGAGGTCAGCCCAATTATCTTGCTGATAATTGACATAGCACCTAAGATACTGCTCTAGAACAGAGTTAGCACGTTCACAAGCCCCATTTGTCTGTGGATGGTGGGCGGAGCTTAGACCTTGGGCAGAGCCTATCAACTTTAGGAACTCCTTCCAAACGTGGGAGGAGAATTGGACCCCCCTATCTGACATAATGCATTCAGGAACTCCGTGTAACCTATACACATGTAGGATAAACAGTTTAGCCAGGATTTTTGCAGACGGAATCTTGGAGCAGGGCACAAAATGCACTTGTTTGGAGAACAAATCCATGATCACTGAAATGACAGTATTTCCAATACTCTCTGGCAGCTCAACAATAAAGGCCAGCGATATCTCCTTCCAAGGGGCACCAGGTCTGGCAACATTTTGGAGTAGTCCTTGAGGACAACTAGCAATGTAGGATTCTATGTCTTTTTTTCAGAGAGGGCCACCAAAACTCTTTTAATCAAATGTAAGGTTTTCACAAAACCAAAATGTCCAGCCATTTTTTAATATATGTTTTTATTTTTTGAATAAACACAAACACCNCTTCCTTCCTTCCTTCCTTCCTTCCTTCCTTCCTTCCTTCCTTCCTTCCTTCCTTCCATACAATTAAGGAAATGTCCACATTTGTCTTCCCTGAACCAACTTGCCTTTGGGGAAAAGGAATGGATGGAAATCAGATATTTGTTCTCAGTGTTCAAAGCCAAAAATTTTACAAATCTTTGTAAAATGTGGAATACTTTCAGAGTAAGTGGAAGAGAGTCCTTACTTTAGACTGTTCTGAAAACATGCAAAAGTGCCATAGCAACCATCTTCCCTGGAGATGGTCACCATGAGCAACAGCACTGAAATGTAATTAAGTATAATAGTCAAAAATCTATCAGCACTTAATGCTACAGCAAAGCTAAATATCTTTATTTTGCGGTCAAATATGTATGGCTGATCCAGGTAAAGAAACATTGGGGAAATAAACATGTATAATTGTTCAGATTGATTGCCTCCTTTTTTCATTTCTACTTTTGCCTCCTTCTCGCTACCTCTTCCTGAAAATCCTCCAGCTATTTTGATTTGGCTTCAGAATTCCGGGAGTTGAAATCCATTCTTCTTACAATTCTTGAGGTTGAGAATCACTGCTCTATAGTATGGCTCAGGACCGCCATAGCCTTCTTGGCTTCAGATATTTCCTTGTACATGAGAAATTTTGAGGAATATAATGGAATTTAATGCATAGGAAGTACATAGCAATATTCAGGAATTCTAAAAATAATATGTTCTGTGTCAGCTCACCTAACTGCCCAAGATTCAGCAAAATTCCTTAGGAACCCTTCCAGAGCAGAAAAAAATTCTAGTATAGCCTTCAAAAATACCAAGGAAATATAATGGCTAATATTGGGAGAACCATAGCATTAGGAAGAATCTGGAATTCTATCCCTTGACAATGCAAGGAATTGTTGTGGCAATGTATGGACATCAAGGATTTTTTGGCAGCTGCCCTTCAATTTATACTTAAAATTTTTTAAAGTGTGTGTGTAGCCCATTGTTGAATTGTAACTTATACCAATAAAAAACAACTTCTCCCCTGTACTGAAGTCTGAACTTTTTCCTGCAACAGAAAGCAAATTTGTTCCATTATCTCTCTGACTGGGAATAAAATATTTGGACTTAATCCTGCCTTTGTAGTGTTCTATTCTCAAGGCTAAGCAAGCTCAGATTTTAATATCTTACTCCAATGCAAATCCTGTTTATTTGCCAGAAACTCGAATGAATTCCACCTAGTTGTGAATTTTGCTACCCTGTGGCAAAATATTATGACATTTTCCTCCACACTGTGACTCTTTCATCTTGTATCCCAGCCTGGGGATAATTTGCTCAATCAGTTCAGAGTAAACACATAGTAGAGATCATTCTTTCAGTTATTAAATCTATTTGTGGCCATACATAAGAAAAGTCATGCTAGATACTGCAGATCCACAGCATTCTGTGTTACTCATTGTCCACTATGCCTTTGGAAACCTTGATGGGAGACTATTAGTTTCCTTCCAGTCATTTCTAAATAATAAACATTCTGCTTAAGACTTCTAAACAGCCATTAATTAAAAATCTGATCCTCCATGAATTTATCCAGTCCTATTATATATTTTTTCTAATTGACTCAGAGCTGGGTTGCTACTGGTTTGCACCAGTTTGGTGAACCGGTAGTGGTATTTTGGCCTTGGTTGCCTGAACTGACAGTGACCCCAGCTAGCCACGCCCCTGAACTAGTTCCCTGATCACCGATGTCAGCATCTTTTTTAGTAATTTTTTAATGTTCTGCACATGTGCAAAACAATTAATATTCAACTTATAGTCAACTTACAGTCAGTTTATAGTCATCTGACACACGTGAAGCAAACCGGCAGCGATTCCGGCAGCAACTCACGCCTGAATTGACTACTATTAGCACAATGTCTGCAGATAAATCTCACAATTTAAGCTTGTGCTGTATATAAAATTCCTTTCTGCTCTTCTACTATGACAACTGCTGATATATGAGATGACAGACTATACAAAATGATAGATATTAATTATTCACTTGATTAACAGTGCAATCTCCTATCACTGTATTTCTCAAAGTATTAGTCATACAAGTGACAGGAGATTACGACACTCAAATCATTTTACCACCATCACCACTTATTTTGAGGACAACCATAAAAAGTTTTAAAGACCCATGAGTATTGTGACTACCATAAGTGCCATTTTCTGGATTTAGGCTTGGATTCAACACTACCTGTCATAACGACACAATCGGTACTTTCCTATGTTTTTTTCTTACCTAATTCTCTAGTTGACTTATATGGACAGTGAGGTTATTGCAAAGCTTTATCCATAAATATCTGTTGGTCTGTCTATCTAAAAGATTCAGTTTGGAACTGGCAGAACAGCTAAGGAAAGCTGTTCTGCCAATTGAGAATCTTATAGCACACTTTTTGCAAAAGAACAGTGATTCTATGAACTCAAGGCTGATGTATTAATGAAAAGTAAATTCTGTAAGGAAGACTGGACAAAAGAATAACAATACAGAGTAATACTATGCTGAAACCTCTTCTACAAAAAAAGTTTTCTTCTGTAGAAGAGTCTCCAGTTTTTCTGTTTCACTCTTGGGATGCATGAGAATGTTTTCCACTCTGGCACTTTTAAGACTATCTTGTTGTATTGAAAGACTAAAGATACATTTTGTTTGTTTGTTTGCTTCATGTTTCTTTATCATTCTACAGTTTCCGTGGTTGCTAATTGGGAAACTTCTATTCTGATTTGTTTTAGGTTTGCTTAGAAAAACAAGGGAAATGTTTTTAATCTGCTGTGCAGCGTATTGTATAATAAAAGGCAGTGTATTCTCACACCCCCTGGACCACTTATAGTTGCAAGAATTTCCCTAAGAAAGTAATTTCAAATCCTAATGGCACAAAACATTTGGCAGGGAATCCATGCTCTGTTATAAATCCCTCACCCTTGCCCCACAAAAAAGTATTGAGAAAAAAGTGCTTGCTACTATTGTTATGTTAGTACTGATTCTGGAAATTGTTTTTAGTAATAGGAATTTGGGGGTTTGTAATTCTTCAAGGATTTTTTGCATGATCCTTGGGAAGGAAGTAGAATCTCTCTCTCTCTGTCTTTTCCCCCGTCTCTCATCTATCCATTAGCGTCATCCATCTCTTCATCATATATCTCCTCTATCCTATCTATCTATCTATCTATCTATCTATCTATCTATCTATCTATCTATCTATCTATCTATCTATCNTGCAGCTAACAGTCAGCTGAAGTGGCTGCAGTACTGCACTCTAACCACTGGACCACCTCGCCATCTACAGTGGGGTTTGTTAAACTGATTAAATAAATAAAAATGTAAATGTGCTTAAAAGCATTCATGGATAAAGGGAATTTCAGAACTTAGAAGCATTGCAAGAGAAAAAGAAATAAAAACTAAGACCAGCAGAATCCATGTAGCAGGTGTAGAGGAATTTAAGAAAACCCAAGAAGTGGACCACAGACATGTGACCAAACTTTTGTATAATCTTGACATACGTATAAAAGGGGTGGGGCTTCAAACACATAGTTGTTACTCATTTTTTGCCTTTTTGACTGATTATTCCCGCCTTGGACACTGCTGCCTAAAAATATGTCTGGAATAAAACTCCAAAAATATTTTTCAACCTGTTCAAAAGTCTTCTTCCTTGCTCTTTATAAAAAGAAGGCTAATTTAGATGTTGAAAATAATACATCAGATTGCAATGGAGCTGAGGAAAATTAATAATATTGTAAGAAGCTTGGTTTATTCCCAAATCAGATTTAGATGCTACTTTTAAGCTGAGGTTATATCATTAAAATGGAAAGAGGGATTTATTTGAAAAAGGTTTATTCTAGACGTCTAATAAAATATAAAACCTTATGTTCTTTGCATAACCATCAACTGGAAAATCACCAAAATTAAGCATTTTCCCCAATTTTAGAGATTTCACTTTAACAGGAATTTCATTCAAGATCACCTTAAAATGTACATAAATAGTAATAAGCTTCAAAGAAGCATGGTTTGAAATTTTAACAGCCCTTGTATCTCATGCTTTAATTTCAGATATCAATGAATTAGAAATCAGGGGGGGAAACAGTCACATTTATTTTTTCCTTTTAAATAAAAATATGCCCTTTTTTAAAAAAGTGAGGATTAATGGAATGCTATATATCCCCTAATTAAATTCAGAAATGCATGTTAGCAAATGTGAAAAAATTAAATTTTACAGTATATAAACTCGATAGAAAATCCTAATAATTAAAATAGCAACTCATATTCCACATTCAGAATTACCATTTATATACATGTCTTTTATCCAAGTTTTTTTTTAAATCTCTTCACCTTAAGGAAAAATATCAGAATTCTAAAAAAAAAAAAAAAGTTAAATTAACTTTTAAAATTATTTCATTTCAGTAAAACTTGTCTATGCTTAGCAGGAGATCCAATCCTTTCCTTGTTGCAAAGAAAAATGCCATCTGATACAATTAATATTAAAACCATTTCCTTCTAACAAGCAAAATACTTATTCCCATAAAGTAGGAAGCATAAAGTTAAAAACACATGTGCATACCCCCTGCAGTGATAATGTTTCTAACATTCTTAAATCCTGTTTGGTGTTTGTCAAACATATCTTTACATCCCTCTTCCACTCAACACAAAGGAATAAAGAATCAGGAGGCTGCTATTGTTAATATTATATAAACCTAATTGAAAAAGACAAGTAAAAGGCGTTTAATAAAGAAGGCAATCTTTAATGTATCGTATTTCACCTAAAACAAGACTCAATTGGAAAATAAGCAGTAGCATGATTTTTCAGGATGCTCGTAATATAAGCCCTACCTCAAAAATAAATCCCAGTGCAGATCATCAGCCAGATGGATGCATTAAGTACTGTATTTCTCCTAAAATAAGAGCTACTGGAAAATAAGCCCTAATGCGTCTTTTGGAGCAAAAATTAATATAACATTCTGTCGTACTTTTAGAGAAACACAGTAAAGGCAAGAAAGAGGAAACAGAAATTGCAATTTATACATATTTTCCCTGCAACCAAAATCATACAGAAATAAATACAAACATATAATTAAGAGGCAAAGATAAATAAGTCTAATAGCCTCATTATAGTAAACAAATCAGCAAAACTTTAGAAGGAAAGCGAAATGAACCTCTCCTTGTAACTAAGCATAATTAATTTTACATTTCAATGACATTATTCCAAAATTAATTATAACAGTGTTATACACTTTTTTGTTCTGTCCCAATCCATTTTGGGGTGTATGGGTCTTAATTTACCATCTAAAAATCAAGTGTGTCTTTTGCGTTAAAAAATCAGCCACTCTTCTTTATGGATTTTTGGAGGGAATAAATGGCCCAAATGCAATGTGGCTTACAAGTGAATTACTGACATAGAATTTCATGCTTAATAAAAGTTTAGTATTCCAAGCATTACAAATATAAATTTTGACAAGTGACACAACTTAAAATCAACTTTAAATTGGGTGGTGTCTTGATTTTATGCAGGTGGCTGAAATTATTTGTATTAATCATTTTCTTAGAGTCTTTGAATTGAAAGGTGGACAAACCCAATTTTGTTATTTTAGGAGACTGAAACGGCTGTGCTTTTTTAAATAAAAAAATGTATATCAGCAGTTAATGAAGAGGAAATAATGATGTGTGCGCATTTTAAAATACATTAGAACACTAATTAGACTACAATCAAATTGCTTAGGGAAGTTTTTCAGACATCTACCTGGTAATTTTCAACCCCATGCATGAGTTCATTTAACAAAGCATGCATTATTAGAAGATGGAGCTAAAATTAAATCAGAGAATTCCAGGGTGGCCCAGCATGAAACACTTCTAGTTTCCTATATTTTAAGAGTAATTATTTTCATTGAATGATTCTTAAAGAATACACCTCAACTCAGAGATGATTACCTGGGTGGATTTTACTTCTTGTGTTTGTACAGATATTGTAGGAAGTTCTGAAGGAAAGAAATGATACCGTGTGACATCATCTGTAAACAAATAAATTAAATGTGTCACCAGCTCTTTGAAATATTGAGCAGTATGGAATATCACAAGTGCTTATTGTTGTTATCAAGGACACTGTCTGACCCACATTAGCTGTTTAGAAAGGAGATTTCACTCTGTGTTTATCCGCCCACAGTCTATAACCCACAGCTGTCAAATTCACGACCCACGAGCTGGGGGGTGTCACATATTGGCCATGCCCACGTCCAGTTTCGCGAAGGGGGGGAAAGTCTTGATACATCACATTATGCCGCAGTGATGACGTGAGTTTGATACCCCTGGTTTATAGCAAAAGCACTTAGAGTTATATACCCCCTCACAGTGGTTTACAGCCCTCTCTAAGCGGTTTACAGAGTCAGACTATTGCCCCCAACAATCAGGGTCCTCATTTTGCCAACCTTGGAAGGATGGAAGGCTGAGTGAACCTTGAGCCTGGTGAGATTTGAACTGCCAAATTGCAGGTGGCTGGCAGACAGCAGAAATAGCCTGCAGTACTGCATTCTAAACCATTGCGCCACCACGACTCTATAGCAATGTTTCCCAACCTTGCTGACTTTAAGATGAATAGACTTCAGCTACCAGAATTCCTCAGTCACCAAATGAACTTTTGAAAATCAAGGACAACCTGAAATGAATTAAAGAGAATCAAACGTGT